TTTAGTTAAATACGCTTCAAAACGAACAGTTCAACGCTAAAACTAATTATTGTTTTTATTATGAATAAATTCATTTATTTTAATTATCACAAATTAAAATATCCTTAAATAAAATATACATATTGTGTTAAAAGTATTTGGAATTATTAAATAAAATAAATTATTTATCTATCATTTAAAAAACAACTATATCACCACTGGAACCAATCCACATATATATTTTTCGTGAGCTGATTGAGGTTATTACCCGATTTCACGATTTTCTTTGTGAACAACCTTATAAGTTGTCTGTGGAAGTCAAAAAATCTACAAAGTTTCTTTAATACTTTAAATATCTCAGATCCTCACAGAATTAAGGAAATATTAAAGATGCTGTTCCATCGTTACTCTGGTAAATAATGCTTTTGGTATTCGATGAGAAATATTTCAATTTATTATTCTACTAATCAGGTTTATTTAGATCAAGATTTAAACATATGCGTCATTCTTCAACTTACTTTTTCTATTTGGCTGATTAGGAAACATTCAAGCGTTAAAAAGGTTTCTTATCTAAATAAGAACATCAGATTTCTATTACTTCATCTGTGTAACTCCTAAAAAACTATAAATTATATTTTTATTAATATTAATTTAAAATCAAAAACATTACGATTTCTTTTATATAAAGTCTATATTTGTAAATGAATTAATTGAATTAAATCATTTTCTGGAACATACGTTTCTTTCTACTTTTTATAGAAAGAATAAAAAATATATAATGGTCTACCACACCATTATATTTCTTATACGAAAAAAAAACTTAATTTAAAAAACAAAAATCACAGCGCAATATTTCGTTACGGATCAAAGTGATCTTGATTTCAGTCAGAAGGTTATCAAAATAATAAAAAATAATGAAATGAACTTACAGTTGAGATGAAAAAGTCATCAGATAATTTGTTCCTATTAATTTAATGATGATACAAAACAAAAAAATTAAAAAACAAATAAATTAATAAATCGAAATGAAATGAAATGAAATATTATTAGAAATGTTCTAAATTATTGTATAACTTAAAGTACTATAAGTAATATGTAAAGATCCGATTACGTATAACAACAGTTTTTAACTTAAATACGCATTTATTATAGACTACTCGTACTTTTAAAAATATGCTTCAAGCTATAATTTTCATTATCTTTAAATATTTAAAGGAATTATAATATTTGCAGTATTTCCAAGGTCGCATTTTATTAAATATTTTTTACACGTAACTATTAAATTATTAGAATTTGAAATGTTTTTCAGAGGAACTTAGCTCCAAATAAGAGTTAAGGGAACGGATATATAATATATATATAATTATATGAAAATCTTGTTCTTATTGTGTACAATGTTGTATGAAAGATAGATACTGCTTTATTCTCAAAACTTCTTAGAAGTCTGGAATTAAGGATAATGAAATGCTACCTTAAGAAATAAATATTAGCAAATTTCAGAAAACTATCAAAACGTTAAAAATGTTTGTTTTATAGCAGTTTTTCAACTCTCGGGAAAGAGTGCTGATAATAGATTGCTGATGTTTACTCATCAATAAATCATCAAATTGGTACAATCAATTGTATTTTTTATAAGGATTAAAAAACTTACTAATGTTAAATAGTTGAAATAAATAAATCCAATACTTAGGTATGCATTTGATGTTGCTTTATGTACTGACTACTTGTATTCTATTTAAAAGTGAAAAGAAATGTTATAAAGACGATATAAATCAGCAGATTTTGCTTATTCTTCTCTAGATTTCAGCACGTGTAAAGTTAAGATAAGAGGAATGTTTCTGTTTCTAAAACCGGATTCAGTTACTCATTTGAAGAAAAAATTTGGTAGAAGATTACAAGTTAATACTGTTTCGTTAGATGCTTCATCCAAGCTGTTAATGTAAAATTGAATTATTTCATTTATGATCGACAATCTGTTAGAAAACGGATTATGTGAGGTTTTTTTCTTCTAATAACTCATGTTGTTCTTAGTATTTCTATAAGGAAAGAAACAATTTTTATCTGAATAATAGAGTATTTGAATAACTGGAGAGTGTATTATCGATTTTATTCCTTTAATATTAACTTTTCTGAGTTCGTCTTTAGAGAGACACTAACAGCCACAAGATAGAGTGGAGATGCTGATTAACATTAACTAATGTTTTCAATTTCGTCTTTTAAATTTGGTGGTGGATAAATAATATAGGACTGATGATTTCATTTTAAAGGATTCTATACTATTTTGTTTAATTAAAAAACCTTTCTTTTGGAAATTCTTTAATATTAATTGACTTTATAGTTAAATATTAATCAATAATATTATATAAAGGTGCAAAATTGTACTACCAATTAACCCTAAACATCTCAAGAGTGATTTTTTGGAATAGTTAAGTCATGTACTAGTTATGAGTCCATTAAATATATTGGACGATCCTTGGTCAGTCACAAAATTCTTTCTGATGAAATTTTCCTTAGCTATGAAGGAATGGATATAAAAAATTATTAAAAAAAAATTTTTATAATAGTAATAATATAAATAAGATTTATTAAAATATTTTTTTAAAATTAAAAATTTAATTTTAAAATCTATTAAGAAAGTATAACAAATTTAAAGTGAAATTAGAAGGGATATAATGTATCAAAAACTGCTGTATAACATGGATTTTTTCAATATATTCAGATTTATTCTTATTCAATATTTACTGATATTATCTTAATTTATATAGAACGAGTCTCCATATATCACTTTATTTGGTTTCGTATATCAAAAAGTCATATTCTGTATAAATTCCATTTAAATGAGAAAACACCCTGTAAAATTGATTAATTTTTAAATATTAATTGTACTGCTACAGCGTTGTGATAAATAATATACAAATTTCAAATTATAAACAGACTTGCCAGGGAAAGGAGCACAATGTTTAATATTTGTTCGCATACGAATTTTGCCAAAAGCTTGCATATAATTGTATTTCAAATTTTAAACGTAATGTATTATGGATGATTATATGTAGGATGTGTTGTTTTTGTGGCTTGTAAGTTTATGTATGAAGTTCGTTCGTTTAGTAATAATTTGAACACAATTCTACAATAATTGCTATTGTGGCACTGCTACATATTTAGCTTAAATTTAAGTTCATTATTAATGTACTAATATGTATCCATTTTACATTATGTGCTCATATAATCCTAATGGTCTGGCTGATAGGGACGATAATAATTTAAACCTCATTTGTAATTAAAAATAAAATATTTGCAAATAAATGTAAATATTTGAATTTAACAAAGTTAGATTGGATATATAATAAGTGATTGTTATTGTAGTTTAAATTTGTAATAATATACTCTACTGCACTATATTAGTAATTGTATATAATATTTAAAACTTCTAAACCAATATTCTGTATGAAGGGATACAAATTATTATGTTTTTAATTATATATCTAAATATGTATGAGTGATTGTTTAATATTAATAAATATTAATTTTATATGAGCACAGATGATAATGAAATATAGATGAATATTAACTAGATTTGTGTAAATTGATTATTTCCACATATTACGATTAAAATAAATATATATATTAATAAATGATTTTAAATTTTAAAATATATTAAACAAAACTACACAAATGAAGCATGTATTTAAATATACAAATATTTATATGTTTAAATATTAATAGGCGTATTCACGCCACAAATACTCCCGGTTAAATACTTATACAAAAGTAAATTGCATAATAATTATTAATGATCGATAACTATTCGTTGTTTTTTTCTTTTTATGTGTAACTTACCAGCACTTTTTTGTGTAATAGGTACTTGATAATAAAATAAGCATTAAATCAAGGATAACGCTAATTATATGCTTATAATAAATTAATTTTTAAAAAAAAAATTCAAATAATCAGTTAAGCAGACAATTAGCTAAATAATGTATTACTTCTTCAACACACGAAATTATTGATTATTATGCTTTCAATCCTTTCTATTACTTTTAAACAGATGGAATACTCTACCTGCTTTAAAACTATATTTGTCTTACTTTTTATCTCCCTAAAAGTTCTTCCACCAAACAGTATTAATGACAGTGTTTTTCATTGATAAAATGGGACCCTTATATTCTTAATTAACCTGTCAACTGCTTGCAGTCTCGTAGGCTTTACAGTTTTCGCTTTTTTCGGAATAGTTCAAACGTTAAAACCAATATTTCTAAATGTCTTGGATATGTACTATTTGGTCCATATTTCGTTCGCAGTAATGAATTGATGAATAAATTCAGCAGAATTGACTTTCACAAATTAATTAGTCAAAACAATAACAAGGACCTTATCAAGGATTTCTAGGTTAATAGTCTGAATTGGAGGTGCATTACAAGTGGATGTACAACTGTACTTAAAATTATTCATGAACAGTTTCTAACTTGAATTTGAAACTTATATATCATTTTATATATCAACTTATATCAAAGAAAGAATACAGAATATAGAAATCACATTCTTTTTATTTTCATTATTGCAATTTATTAAAATAAATTAACTTGAAGCATTTATATACTCAAATAAATACTTAAGCACATACTTCATCGTGAACATTATTTTATTTAAGCATTCAATCAATTGCGTGGGTATTTGTTTAAGCAAAATAAGAAACTTAACACAGTCACTCTTCGTAAGTCTCTCTTGACCAATTTATATAAACATTTGTGCAATAAGTGAATGAGTTTAACCCCCAATAAACACACTTAGTTGTATTACCTAGAAATATGATACACAAATTACTTTTGCTTAAGACTTGTTCTACCATTATTGTTGAAGCACGTCAAAATTTTGCGGGGCTTCATTGGCATGTGCTATTGTATTTAAAAATCAATTTCGTTTGTAAACATTAACCTTTAAAATATTTGATTGCAATTTGCTTATATAACAATAAAAAATATACACTTACTAATCGTATTGAATTACATTTTCTCTCGTTTTAGCAAAATATTATGGAAAAAGCAAAGGCTTATATAAAAAATGAGTTGCGTGGTGGTAATTTAGCACAAAATGAAGCTCCTTCTCCAGGACGCCAGATATCAGTCACTCCTGTTACATTATCTTCTTCCATGCCGTACAGTAGCTCTGCGGAAAGACTAAGCCATACGCCCGATAGCCAATTGCACCAAAGAAACCAACAATTACAACATTCCCAATATCAACAACAATATTATCAACAGCAGACGGTAGCCAAAGCAAATAATAACATTAGTAATATACGTTCAACTCATTCTCCGGCGAACAGTGCAGCAGTTGTTCGTACACCACCATCATCAGTTTGTTCTCAGGAAGTAGTACCTTTATGTTATGTATGTGGCGGTCAAGGTGGATATGAACCGATACGTGTACGTCCAAATCAAGATCGTCCAACGGAATCTTATTTTTCATTTTTGGAACGTCATGAGGCACCGACTGGAGTACCGCAAATTACTGCGACACAAATGTATGTGATGGCTTGTATGTTGTGTTATCGTTCGTTAAACGAGCAATGGGACTCATATGAACGTGATAAAAAACCACATGTGCAACGCATCTATCACTTAAAGCGAATAGATGGAAAACCTTACATTGGTGCTGATATGACTACACAAGGAGAATATGCCGCTCAAATGTTGGGATTAAGTGCTGAACATATGACTCAAAGTGGATATGCTGATGCAAATAATGCAATAGGTTATACATCTGATTCATATAATTATACTAATTCAGGATCAAGATCACAGCCACGTGAATATAGTCAACATCAGAGTCATATGCAATATCGAAATGAATCGCCACATCGTCCAATATCGCGCAATGGTTCACCAAATCCAGGCGCATCTCAACAACGTGATTATTATAGTCGAATGCCTTCTAGTCGCTTGCCTGATAAACACTCCAGTCGTCCGCAATCTAGGGAAAGCAGTTTGCAATCACATACACAATTGCAATCTCCTGGTCCTCGACCTTCAAGTGGGGCTGGTACCTCGTATGAAAATCTCAATATTAAACCATCATCGTTTGCGCATCATAAATTTAAATTAGGTCAGGTTTCCTATATGAATGCTATTCCTGGTCAGGCTTATACGCAACAACATGGACAACAGCAGCAACTACAAAATCATGATCATTTACAGCAGCAACAACTCTATCAACCATCGCAATACCAACAACTGCAACAACAAACAGCAGCATATCATTCTTTAACGCAATCATCTGGAATGGCAATAAATTCTGTAAATAACAACGAGTGCAATAAACAACGTCAGCAACGAATGAGTCCTTATAGTACAGTAAATTCGCAGTCAGCGACATTTGCAACACATGTTCCAACGACTGAAGATGATGTACCAGCCGTTTTAGATTTACGCAATTCATCGTCAACACTACAAGTTTCTTCCAATACACGAAATACTTCCAGTAATCACCAGCACCCGTCCATTACTACACCTAATGCGGTTGAAGTTGGAATACTCGATTTATCAATGCCAGATAAAAATTCAACAACCGAAGTGTGTTATGTTTGTGGTGATGAGCAGAGACGAGGAAGTTTAATTGAAATAAGTACTGTGAAACCGAAAGAAATAAAAGATCGTAACCGTCCTTATTTCCTTATTTTCAATGAGCAACATCCACGTCCAGCTCGTTCACTTCCGAAAGATCCACGAGGAATGATACAAGCATGCCGTCTTTGTTATGATCATCTTATACAGCAGTGGAATAATCATCAGGTAAGAATAGTATTATTAAATTTTTGTAACCTACCGGTTTGTTTCGTTTGGCATCAAGATGCTGCACATAGACCTACTTATCCTTAACGATACTAGTTCGTTTTTCCTTTATGCTCTCGCGTTATTAATTACCAGTGGTAATAGTTAGAGACATAGTGAGTATAATTGTAGCCGTATTAAGTGCTGTTTGTCCATTCTTTGGACAATTTAATTATATATGGTATTCCGTAGCCCCTTTGCAGAGTCATCCTAACATAGTTCTCTTGAAAAAGTAAAAATTATAATTATTATATATTTGACGATTATCTTTAGGCTATAGGACTGGATCATGCCTTTTGAGCCTTTTTCGAGTTAGTACATCTGGGCACTTTTATTCTTTGATAGCTGGGGGGTTTCTTCTTTCTTTTTGGTAATTCCCACACCCTACTATTCGCTCACCCTACTTGTGAGCATGTGCCTTTAAAGTCTAGTTCTCGTAACTGCATTTATCATTATTCTGCTGTTCTTTTAAGGGACACTAAGTACAGTGAGTTTTTTATTGAGTGTTAGCAGACAGTTGTGTTTACTCTACAAATGTTAAGCCTTTGCCAGTTTTTTATGTTTTCTTGTTATAGTGAACATAAGATCATTATATTCATACCTGATTCATATGTTGATACTAACTCAAATAAATTGTAATCAATTATTTTTAGAAGTTCGTATAGATAGAGAAATAGAATCAAATGTCATATAATTTTTCGTTAAATAAAGGATGTACAATATACTTGTTTTGAACCTATAGATTATAGAACAGAAGTGACAGAAGTGGCTTTAACGAATTATAACCATTTATGGTACTGTTTTTATAATGATTTTTCAATGTATTACGCATATTGTACTAAAAGTACAAAATGTAAAATAATAATATAAGTACACATTTTTTTTTGTATTTATTAAATTCAAATTAAATTTGTTTTAAATTGATTTATATGAACAAGGTACTTTTAAATATTTAAAAATTTAAAGCATGCCAAAAACTTAAGCATATGTACATAAATGTGGCCATTGATGTCATATTAGCATATTTGCATCCCAAATGTGCAAAAAATGAGGTCGAGGGTAGTTGTTCCTACGAATCGATGTCGAGCCAAGTCAAGCTGATGTGTTTTTCAGTTAAAATTTTATAGGGAGCACATAGAAATACAAAAAAGTTTTGCACATACCTATATAAATACATACGTATTTGTATGTTTGTATTGTTCATAAAAAAATATACAAATACACGTATATACAGTGTATACAGTGTATAAAGGAATGTATATGAAGTACTTTTAATAGAGTTGCTTGAAAATATTGATGTGTCCATACATAAATAATGTATTTAAATAAAATTATAACCTGCATGAGTAAATGTATGAAAAAAAAAAAAAAAAATCCTGAAGTAAAATAAATATCCATAAACAATTTTTAAAACGAATTTACGACCCTATGTATAATTTGGAACAAGTAAAAGAAAATAGACAATATAGGTATTGTCGGAAAAACTGAATATTTACGTATGAACATATATCCATCCGTCTGTTCTTCTGTTCGATTTTATTATATTAAAATTGCACCACAAAAAGAGATGCAATGAGTTTTATTACTCGACTACACTCATATTTATTCGATGCGTAAAAGTTAGATGTGGAAATAGTTACCCGACGCCAGTCCATTCAGCGTAAATGTGTTTTAGTTAGTATAGTATAAGTATAAGTATATTTTAAGTTTAATATATGTATTTAATTAAAATAAGAAGAAGTCATGCAATGAGCCAAAACCGTACTTGACTTTAGTGTTCGCACATTTTTCTGGAGTTTTGTTAATTTGCTGTTAAAAATTTTATTAATAAACTCACTTGCTGTGTTTATATTAAAACGAAATCATAAACCAGCTGAAGAATAATGGAATTAATTAATTTTGTTAAATTTCAATGCTATTCTGTTTGTAGAGGGTATAAATGAAAATATATACATATTCTGAGTATTACTATATACTAAATCTTCGTAAAGTATTGGTTTTAACATAAAAATGCTGATATACTTTTCGAATTTTTTTCATAATTTTTGAAATGCGCAATGCATATAAGTTTTTAAAATGAATAAACCCTCTTCATAAACCTAGAACACATCTTAAGTAAGCCTGCAGCATATGATAATTAACATAGTCAAAAATTTGGGGATGTATAAATCGGTAAGGATCTCCTATTTTTTAATATTTATATATTTATCTAATGTTCCATTAAAAAATATTGCCAAATATATAAATATTTAATTAATATATATATATATCACAATTATTATTAACCTATTAATTAAATTATTTATTAAATCCACCCTTATATATTTATATATATAGTATATTTAATAATTATGTAATATTTAATATTTTAAATTATGAAATTAAGATAATAGTGCGTGATATTTTAATAAAGAATGACTTCCCCGTAAGGATTATTAATATGATGCTTAATAAGACCTTTAAAAAGCTCCAACCTAACAATAATAATGACAAAAAAATATATAAATCCATTGATTATGTTCCGAAATTGTCAAACCAAATAATGAATTCTAGTATATATGACAAGGAACGTTATAAAATTACTCATAAGGCAACAAACACAATAGCTAAATTATATAGCAATACGAAAACTAAAATTAATAATAAAGACAAATCTAATGTAGTGTACCAGCTGAATTGTAAAGGTGACGGGTACAATGTATGTAACAAAATATATATAGGTACGACTAAAAATAAGCTTAGGACAAGGATGGCTGGACATAAACACAGTTTAAAAAATAAAAGTGGTGCTGAAGCCAATACAGCATTGGCTGTGCATTGTATGGAGCATAAACATGAACCTGATTTTGATAAGGCAAAAATTTTATATGAAGAAAGGAACCATAATAAGAGGTACTTTCTAGAAATGCTCTCAATACTTCAAGTGCCCAATAATATAAGACTCAATTATAAAACTGATACGGACAACTGTGCTCAGGCTTACAGGAATATTATAAACAAATGACACAGGATGTTTGTAAAGCTTTTTTTGTTTTTTTTATAAATTTTTTTTATAATTTTAATTTTTCTTTTGTATTTTTATTGTTGTTTTTTCTCTTGTTGTCATCATTATTATTGTATTTATTGTATGATTTTTCTTTATAATCCGCTATAAAAATGTGAACATCCTATATTTTGTGCAGTTTTCCCTGAAGATGACTATCGAAGATAGTCGAAATATCGGAAATAAAATATAAACGATTTTTAAATATAAATAATAAATTAATGTCTTTTTATTTATATTAAAATTTGACCAATTAGCCCGGTAACAAATTATTATAATAATTAACTTCATATAAAATCGAAATATTGTTTTTAAATACAATATTTACAGAAAGATATTTGTTTCTTTCATTTTCATAAGCTGTTGAAGACGTCCATTGAAAATAAATATTAACAATATTATAGTTATAGAGTTAAACCAATAAATATTTTCGAAACTGCACTTTTAAGGACTGTCTAAAAAATTGAAAAATTATTTTCAAAACGGTTCCAATATCCTAATTGTTTTATTTTTGATATATAATTATACAAATTTTTTCAGTACTAATTTTTGTTATTATGAAAGAGCTTTAATTAGCTCTGATTTAAACCAATCTTGAAATATTATGCATCAATGATCATCTACAATATTAAACAAAAAATAGAATTGATACATGTATGTAGCATCTGGCAATGAAATGATTTAAGGAAATATTCAACAATTTTCTTTTGTACTTTTGTACTTTTTTTGTACTCGATATTACAACATTCTAAAATTTTACTAACCTGTTCAAAGTTATTACACTTCGAAGTTCGAACAGAAAATTGTAGAATATATTTTCCCCAATCCAATACATATAAATTATTCAGACTTTTGCTGTATCAGGTGCTTTTCTTTCGTACATTTTATTTTTCAATTCGCTGTTATGAAATCCTAAAATTCTACTAATCGGTTCAAAGTTATCACATTTTGAAACGAACAGAAAATTGACATACATAGGAGTTTATGCATGGAACGACTAAATTTGAAGAACAGTTTCTTGAAGCCATCGTATTTAATAAGACTGAAAGACTGACAATTGTCTCGACTATCGATATAATAGTTTTTCTATATATCTAGATATATATAGAAAACTATATAGCTATAGTTTTTCAAAATTATCTATAGACAATCTGTGATCGTACTTTTTTGAACAGAAATAAAGAGAAATAGCCTTTAATATAATCAAAAAAAACCGATAAATCCTTCCTAGTCATTAAAGAGCTGTACATTTTTTTGAATTTACCCTCAATCACAGACAAACTTATCTTTTTCCAAAGAATAGGATAAAGTTTTGTTCTTGCAATTTAAGCAAGAGTCTAATTTTAAAGGTTAAGGTTAAAGGATGTTAAAAGTAAAAATAAAAAAGGATGTTGCTATCAATTTTATTTGTTATTATACCAAAGAAGTTGACATTTCTAATACTATTATTTTTTTAAAAGAATTATTTTATAAACTTTTTGGATAGCTGAATTAAATTCTTATTATTAAATGGCCTCAGAACGTCAGTGATATTGGGGAAAAATTCAAAACTATTGATAATATCATTATTTTCATTAATTGCTTGTGTCAAGAATATGTATAATATATACTTGTACATTTTATTTAACAAATTATAAAAAAAAATAACTAAAAATTATTATTGTAGATTAATAAAAGAACGTTGTGTGATAAAAAAACTCTATCTTAAAAATAGTACATAATCAACCAACCCTCACAGAATACTACTATCGTAAATAATTGTTTTTTTTTTGTTTATAGACTACTATGAGTATTCATCTTCAACTCAGTGCACATCCATGTCAGATTGCCAAAATTTATGGCAAAAAATAAAAAAAAAATAAAAAAAAATAAAAAAAATAGTTGGCATGATTTATTTAAGTAATTCATGTATAAATTTATATGCAAATTTTCAAAACTTGATGCTTAGTATGCAATTTTAATATAGAAAACTGTAAACAAAACTATTCTATAAAAATGTTTGACAGTCGTTTTAATATGAACTCATATATCTTATATTTTGAGAGTTTTACCTTAATTTCATCTGTTGATTTTTTTTTTCTTTCTAAATAAAAAAATAATTTTTTATTGTTTCTCATAAACTACGTGAAATTATATTTTCAGTTAAAAAAATTAGTTTTTATCTATTGGTTCTTATATATCATATTAGTATCTACAATATCAAAATAACCATTATTGATAATATTACCACATCAACGGTGTGGCATAATTGTATATT